TAAGAATTGATTTTTTCTTTTGCTGTTTTGCTACTGTAAACACATTTCTGCAATAATCAAAAAACAAACATACCAAAAAAAAAAAAGAATCACAAAAGTACAGCAAGTAAAACCTTAGTGAATGTTCTTTTAGTAATATCACACAAAACCATAACATTACAGCAGGCTGTTTCTTGAGGACATACTTATATTCTCTCTTATATAGTTATATTCTCATTATATTTTACATTAGGCAGTGCTGTGGTAATCCTGGTAATCCTCAATTGTAATTTTGTATTGTAAGTTTGGCAGTACCACAGGAATACCACACTCATACCACAGGACTTTTTGTAATGGACCACTCTTTGGACTCAACTGAACTGTCTTAAGACACAACATCTCTGTGTCTTAAGACAAAGTGATGTCTTAAGCCATGCCTCGTCTTCAAGACACACAAAATAATTACTTCTTTGTCTTAAGACGTTAACTTTCATGTCTCAAGACAAAGACAGTGTCTTCACTCATATGTCTTAAGACGTTCTTGAGATGTCTTGGCATTAAAAAAGGTCTCAAGACGTCTCATAAATACTGTCAAGACATCTTAAGACAAGGTGACAGCTGGGTATGTTTTTCTCCTCGTGTACTACACATACTAGAAACTTTGTACATCAGTTTTTTTACTGGGAGAATTACCATCAGAGCAGTTCAGATGTTATTTTTTATGAGATTATATCCTGTCATGAATCACTACCATTAAATTTAAATGAGATAAAAACACTACCATGCCTCACAAGCATTATGAATGAGCAAACATGCTACTTGCTCTTCACGTCATGCTAAGTATATGTAGAGCCTGGGAGTGAGATTTGCCTTTTTTCCTGGAATAACTGATATGGATTGTTCTTAATAGAATGTGTTGTTGGTAAATTGCAACCTTGATTAATTTTTCTAACTTGTCAAAGATGTACAAAGAGTACTTTGGTAAACAGTCTTTTGTAATAAAATAAATACACATATATGTGTCTCTGTATGAGGGTGTCTGATAGAATCTTCATTTTGTCTCCACCCCCTCCTCCTGTCTCTTTTACATTGTGGTAGAATAAGACTTAGAGAAAAGTAATAGCATCAGCACTATTTGTTTCCAAGACTTTTCAAAGGATGTAGTCAGTGGTGTAGTGGGAGAAGGCCACTTACTTGCCTATTCCACACTTACCATAAAACAACCTACTTTAGGTTCATCTCAGGTTAGGGTTTTCCTGTGGACAGGGATCTATTGATCAGATTGTGAAACCCAATGAAACAAGTGATAACTTTAATAAAGGGTCATTTATTGATAAAGGTATGTAAGCACTAGATTAATGGATATGCAGAGAAACTAGCAATGTGAGATTCTCTGGATATACATACTGTAATTAGCTGAGACTTGGAACTATTTATTTTATGGTGTTTGAGCAGTACACAGAATAGAATATCAATGCTTGTGTAACGACTAACCTAAATTTACCGACATTTAGGTGAAAGGGGGGACAGAGTAACACAGCCGGGACTGGACCATATAGCTGGAGAAGTGATAGTGTAAGCCTTACAGCCTTGAAGTTGAAGAGGCCTGATGAGGCGATGCTGTGGAAGTGGTTAACCCTGATAGCGTCGCTTCTTACCGGACCTTGCTGGGTGAGTCAGGCTACCAGCTGGCTCATGTTGGCCTCTCGCAAAAATGGCAGTGTCTCTTCGGTTCTTTTGCCATGGCTGGCTGGTGACAGCAGGCTGCAGTTCAACAACAGGCCGCTAAAGCCAACTTTCATAATGGCTTGCAGTGCACTGGTTTACTTGTGTCCATAATTCTTAAACTATGCTCGCAGATTTTGCAACGACCTATTGTTGGCCAATCAAACTTTGAACGAGAATCAACAAGACTTAAAACAAACGCAGCTTGACTATGCAAACACTGATTCTAGCAGTTACCAACACTTCTTCAAGGTTACTGAGTGAGTGAAAACAAAATTAACTGAACAAAGACTTGATGAACTGAGACATGAAACAGAATAAAACTAAAATCTAAAATCAGCAGATTTTTAAGGGCACAGAGAGAGAGCTTCTTTTTGTCATTTCTTCATGGTAACGTGTCATCTCTCCTTCCATCTGTGTCTGTGCTTATAATAGAGACCTCTTGTGTGCGGATCTAGGGTGGGGAAAAGGGTTTTACCACTCAATTTCTAATGAATATGTAAACATTAAACAACTTCACATACAAAGACTTCTGAGGATGGTTGTGTATCATTAAGTAAAAGAACATTACGCATGCAGTTTCATATGTAAACATTATTACTGATTCAATTGTAACTATTACAAGCAAACTATTGACCTTACAGATTATTATATCCAAAGTACTCTAATTTCACACAATGGTTAAATTAAGCTACTTGAAACCTCTAACAATCCTACTTCTTCTAAAAGAACATGATACTAAGAAAAGGAAATGAGATTTACTAAAAAAGAACATAGTTCTAAAGTTAGTGTTCATCAACACTATAACATTTCTAAACAATGCTTAAATGAAAAAGAAGATACACAGTATGGAGTACAGAGAAGTTGAGTATGTTATCTATGGCAGAACCTCTATTATGCTTGAACTATGGCATTTTCCATGAATAGTCATAGAAGTAACAAGCTTTACTTACACAATTGTACTTCTAAAAGGATGAAAAGCACACCAAGACTCAAAAGAAGATGTTATGTGCCTGTGATGCACGTAGGTTTTGTTTCGGTGTTTCTGTTCTTTCTTTCCTTCTTTCTTTCTTTCTCTCTCTCTCTCTCTCTCTCTCTCTCTCTCTCTCTCTCTCCCCTTTTTCACTCCACAGAACTACTATACAGGTATGTGATGGACCAGTGAGGATGTTGTTAATGCTTGGCTGCGCTCTTCTGTCCACCAACCCGAGTCGCTACGGTCTGCTGAGGGCCAGATCTTGGCAAGTAAAAGGACCTACCTGAGAGGAATTGTGTGTGGGACTATTTAGCGTGCCTGAGACTTTTATGGTGTCAGCAATAATTTTATGCTGTGCTACTTGACGGACTTGAAAATGTAGCCAGTAAATGGTTGTCTCACTTTGTTGTTCCCTCCCTTGTTTTCTCCCACTTCTCTCCCTCCTGCGTGATGTGTGGACAGGCAATTTTGGGCGTGTCTATACATACACGGTAGTGGTTTCATCAGTGCCACCCAGGATCAGACCTGGTTAGGCAGGTTAGCTTTTGGTTTATTGGTGTCATTTCTTTGGCACTGTCCTCAGACCACCTTTGCAGTTGGTTGGATCACACAAGTCAGTGTTCATACTTAGTCAGTTGTTAGTGGAATCTTATGTCTTAACTCCATGCTCAACCTGAGCATTATTGATTCCTAGCATCCTAGCAATTGATAGCTCAATGTATCATGGTTCTCACTCTTTCTTTGTAAATATCATTCTTGTATGATACACTTTTGCAAGTGGGAAGTAAAGTAAAGGGGAAAAAAGCATTGACTGGAATTGCAAGTACTGTTTTCTATGATCTTTCCTTCCTTCTTTCATCAAATGCCAAATATTAACCACCTTACACTTTGACACTTTAACAGAGTTACTTTCCACAGTTCAATTAAGAAAGGAGAGTCATTTGATTTAGCATTTGATAACATTGAAGTGTCTTTATAGGCCATATGCCAAGAATTCGCCAGAGAACAGGAGAAATTAAGCTGGGTTCTTAAGATTTAGTCTCTGGAAAGACCTAATATTTTTATTACAACTGCTGAGGAATGTACTACCTGCCCAAAAGGGGGCATTTGTATTGTAATCTCAGGGTCTGGGGTGTATTCAATCTCGATGCTTGAGCCAGATGCCTTCCTCTGCAGGAAGAGGAGTACGTGTGTGTGTGTGTGTGTGTGGGTGTGTGTGTGTGTGTGTGTGTGTGTGTGTGTGTGTGAAAATTTCCAAAAGTCATAAAACTTAGTTTGTGTCCAGAATTTACTGTTGTTAAGTCCAAAATGTCTCCAGACCTACTGGGCCAGTTGAGAGGAAAGATGTTCTGAGGTAAGTCTCCCTATCTGAGGGGGTTGGGACAGTGTCCTTGGAGCACTCTGGGGGCCATACTCAGATATTCAGCAGACATCCTGGTGCCTGTGGATTGCTCTTTGTATCTTAAGCCAAAGATTTAACTTTGCCCAAAAAGTCTTGATCATTTCAAGAATTAAAAACAGCCAAGTTCACTACAGTGGCAAATGCACTTCAGTAGTAAATGAGGTTGTTGAAGTTCAACTGTGCCTTGCCTTGGCAGTTGGTGAGTTGACAGGAGTAGCCATTGTTGAGAGTAGCCGGTTGAAGTTCAAGTGATTCCTCTCACTATATTGACCAACATTTTAAGAACATCACCTGGCCATTTTCGGCCGTATTATACTGTTTAAGTTACTGAAACTTTAGTTGTGAGTAAAGACAAAGCTAACTTGCTGCTGTCAGACTAAAGGTCAGTTAATCTGAATCGTTCAAGGTATAGCAATTATGACACTTGAGATGTATTTGAAGCAGATGCAATAGGACTTCATCTTGTTTTCTGGGCCATTTTTGATAATTACATGTATTTTTGGGTTTTTTTTTTGATTTTGGACCCCCTAAAGTTGCTATGGCCACCCAATGGCTACCCCATGTATACAGTCCTAAAATTGCCACTGGAGCTGGTTTTACAGGAGCAACCCATGTATCTTGCACTAATCATACTGGTAGAGATCCTATCATTAAAATTACATGCATTTAAAGTAATTCACATCCATAGAGAATCCTCCAAAATGATGAAATGGAAAGGCTTAGACTAAATAAAATATCACTCATCACTGCCACTGAGCATCTATTCAGTGAGGTTTAAATTCCTGTTGTATTGTCAAAAAAAGGTGAAACACTCCTGACTTCTTTATTTGACAGCAGCACAATAATGACTTCCTTATTTGACCACAGTAGATAAACCATGCTATCAAAGTCCACCTAAAGTGTTGTGGTAACCACAAACAGGTGGACACTTATTCAGTGTTTTACTGAGTCTTATATAATAGATTAGAGATGTCTGAGAGTGTTCCTAATGGTGTAAATCACAATGATAAGCTGGATAGAGGAGAGCTTGTTGAGAGGGTGGTGGATATCTATGAGAGCGCAGATGCTATTAAAGGCCATAAGCCCAACATAGAGGTGGAGGACACCAACACAAAGAGCAACCTACAAACTCAGCACACAGGTAAGATTAGATAATTCCCTCTTCACACTTATTTAAAAGATATATATGTGTATATATTTTGAATTAATATAAGCGCCTGACTGCTTCTCCTCAAGGAGATTGAAACAAACAGTAATTTTTGCATCAGTAAGCATGGTGTGACATACAATGGCATTTTTTTCCAATGAGTGCTTTATAAATAAACAAAAGCCAGTGTGTTTCTTGATGTACAGCTAGAGAATACAGTGTCATCTGCATACAGGTGCATTGTGCAGTTCACAATGGAAGTGGCAATGTGATTACTATAGAGATTGAATAAAACTGGTCCAAGGATTTAGCCCTGAGGAACACCTTTAGTGACATTTGTTACATTAAGAGGCCCAGTATTGGTAATAATAATAAGTGTCCAGCAACTGTTACATAAAACTAAGACTGACAAAAATATCTGTAAAATAAAAAATCCATTAGAAAAATATATCGTAAAAGCAAGTTACAGAACTAATATTCGTAAAACCACTGAAGGGCAACATTCATAAGGCTATGCAACACCTACATACTCAAGTGCTCAGTGACTTTAATTGTGAGTTCCAAACTGCCCCTGAAAGCAACATCAGCTCAAGAACTGTACATCGGGAGCGTCATGAAAAGGGGATTCCTTTGCCAAACAGCTACACATGCCTAAGATCACTATGTGCAATGCCTACCCTTACAAAAAAGTTAATTCAAGTGTGCTATTAGTATAAAAATAATTGAATATGCTTTCAGTTTACATGTACACTAACAAAAGTATACTTAAGTATACTTGGCTATACTGACAAGTAAACAGAAAAGTCTAAGTATATTTAGCCTATACTCATAATTCATCTTTTGATTGAGGTATTCTTGCCTTATACATAAAGTTTAAGTATATTTGGGTTGTAGTTTGTGTTCAGTACATTTGTGGAACTGATCTTTTATGTAAATTTTAGAGAGGAACAATCTGTCTGTGGGCGGCCAGGAACTGATTTCAGACAGGTTGCATGTCACAAATTCGAATGTCAAATTTCCCTAAACACTGTGTGTGTTTGTTTTAAACTTGAATATCGATTTATGTTCTTATATTTTGGCATCAAATACAACATTTGTTTGAAGAAAACAAATATATTCTTAATCCAGAGTATTTCTTGTGAATGTTTGTATGTGTAGTCCACTGGTAGAGTTCATATTATTTAACTGAAAGTCTACTCAGTTAGCTAAATTGCCTACCTAAACTTACCTAAATAGAAACCTAGTAGTATACTTTAAAGTGCACTTTATAAGTAGTAAACTATGAATATTACATTAAGATAAGGTCTAGTTGTGTACTCAAAGTGTTCTACTCTTACACCTAAAGAATACTTAAATGTATACTTTTGTAAGCTAAAGTAGGCCAATTTATTCCCAAGAAATGTTGAAAAAGTGCACTTGCAAGTATACAACCAGTACATTGATATTAGTATACTTACTATATAAAGTATACTTGGAAAATATACTTGAACTTTACTTAAGTTTACTTAATGAAATGAACTTAAAGTATACTTTTTTGCAAGGGTAGTGTAGACTGGAGTGGTGTACTGCCACTGAACTCTGAACACTGAAGCACTGGAAATGTGTCCTCTGGATGAATGAATCATGCTTCACTATATGGCAGTCTGATGGATGAACCTGAGTTTAACAGATGCCAGAAGAACCCTGTCTACCAGACTGCATGTTGCCAACAGTAAAGTTTGGTTGAGGAGGGATAATGGTCTGGGGCTGTTGTTCAGGGTTTGGGCTGCTTAGTTTCATTGAAGTGTAAAATTAATGCTACAGCATAGAAAGACATTTTAGATAACTATATGCCTCTTTCCTGTTCCAGCATGATTGTGCCCCACTGCACAAAGTGAGCTCCATAAAGACATGGTTTGATGAGTTTGTTGTGAAAACTCTTAAGTGTCCTGCACAGAGCCCTGACCTCAACCCACTGAACACCTTTGGGATGAACAGACCTCTGACCTCACAAATGCTCTTTAACCTGATGGGCTCAAATTCCCACAGACAAACTCCACAATCTTGTGGAAAACGTTACCAGAAGAATGGAGGCTGTTATAGCTGCAAATGGAAACTCCATATTAATGGCCATGGTTACAAATGCTGGCCTTCAGTAAAGAGTTAACTGACAGAATCAATTAAATCAAATAAAAAATCTATCTATATGGATTAATTGCTGATTTATAAAGTCACCATTGCATCATCTACCTCAGTCTGCATTGAGACATTGTGTTACCAGGTCTATGTATAAAAATATTTTTAAATAATTAGGAAGTATGTTTGTGTGGCCTAATATTGTTAGTCACAATGAGATAGGAAATGAGAGAATCCAGGTGAAACACTTTTGTAATCTCTTAGTTTGGTGATCAGGCTGTCCAGGCCAAAATGTCTATTATGGGTATTAAAAATGAGACTAAAGCAAATATATATGTGTGTCCATTCTTCCCTAGGAGGAGACGCTGTAGATATCAGATATTACAAACTGGCTGCAGTGTGTCTGGGGCTGCTGTGTGTTATTGTGTTGGCTGCAATCACAGTGCTGCTCATTGAGTTTGACAACCTGACTGTAGAGAGAGACCAGTTAAAGACCAGGTACACCAACCTGACTACAGAGAGAGACTGGTTACAAACCAGTTACACCAATCTGACTGTAGAGAGAGACCAGTTACAGACCAACAATACCAACCTAACTATGGAGAGAGACCAGTTGCAGACCAGTAAAACTTCTTTGACAAGAGAGAGAGACAGACTTCAGAAGTGGATTTTGCAACTTGGTAAGTGAATATTTGTGGACCAGTATTTCATAAATTCACTTTACAGAAAACCTTTGTTAAATTCATCATGAAATTTTGACACAAGGCAAAGGTCAGCTGGTGTTTTCAAGTACGACAATAAAAATCGAGACACAAGGTTATATATATACCAAATTGGTGTATCCTGTTAGACTAAACAAGAAATGAGCCAGGAGAACCAGAGCAGTTGAACAGGCCTCAAACAATTCTAATTTGTTATTTGTAATGAATCAATTAGTGAGAACAACAAGACTGAATGACAGTGCAGTCCTGAAAACAAGGGTTGAGATGGAGGTCAAACCTTCTATAAAGAAGCATGAAAATACCAGTAGTTTATCAGAAGACATGATAACACTGAGTTCAGCATTTACTCAAGCATGTGTTCATCTTTATGCTTATCCTCCAAACAAGGATGGAGATACTTCAACTCCAGTTTTTACTACATCACTACTGGATTGAAGATCTGGAGTGAGAGCAGACAGTTCTGCAGACAGAGAGGAGCAGACCTGGTGATCATAAACAACAGGGAAGAACAGGTGAGATGACGTGTTAGTGAGACGAGGAGAGAAAGAGACTGAGACAGACAAGGATAACGAAGTAGCCCTGCTACATAAGCTACTTTTTGCTCTGTATTCTAGTTGGCCATCATGATATCAAACATCCGTCTTGATGATTACTTGTAATGGTACCATGGCACTGTTACATTACTGGACATATCCTGTCATGTGAACGTGGTAAGGTCAATGTTATGTAGCAGGGTTTAAGTAAAGTGTTACCAATAATGAAGCACTCTTAGGGCCAGATTTACTTAAGTGGCTTATCTACTAAGAACTTTAATGTAAGTGAACACATTTGACTCACAGACATTTTATATGGAAGCCTGTTGTTGTGCGGTAGGACAAAAAGTAGAAACTGCATACTACATCACTAAATAGTGTGTAAAAGGTAGTGCAGCACCTTTAAAAGACTTTTTTCTTTTTTTTCAAGATTTTGATTTAGTAAATCAAAATAATGACTGATAAACAAAGAACAATTTACTACTGTTTGAGAAAATGTGATTATTTTGATATATTAATCATTATTTTGAGAAAATAAGACATTATTTCCATGTAATAAATACAAAATGTGAGTTCTGTTCCCAGTGTATTTAGAAATTGTGTGATACTGTAAAATCCTTGTCTAATTATGATGAATGTGTCATCTGAGCTACATGCAGTGCATCAAACCATAACTGACGTTTTTGTACCAGAAGCCACAGTGTTTAAAACACTGTTTTAGTAAAGTGAAATTTTAAATTTCCTTCATCAAATTTAGAATAATATGAAACGGCTTTCAGAAAAAGTCATTTTCAGTCATAAATAGATGTGTAATATGAATGAATGTGTCCTGTAAACCTTCTTTTCTCTGTCTCTCAGCAACAACGAGAACAGTGTTAACACCAAAAATAGTTACTAAATAATAAAGCCACAGTCAGTATTTATTATCAATTTTGGTAAATCAGAATAGGTATTAGAATAATCTCCTCCCAGTATTGTGAACTGTGAGAGGGAAAGCCCTATAAATGCATCTACAATGAGCCAAAAGCACAAGAGAGCAGCAACCATCGATATCATCCTTTTACAGGCCCTAAAGAGCGGCTGCGCCTATTTAGTAAACTTTTTATCTTTAAAACATGCAAAATATTTGTAAATCTGCTCCTTAACTGTTTTTTTTTTACTTTGCTACCACAATCACAGGAGTTTATCAACAAAACAGTTGGTAGCACTGAAGCTTGGATTGGTCTGACGGACATTGAAACAGAGGGGACCTGGAAATGGGTGGACAACACAACACTGACCACTGGGTAAGACACTACTGAACTGAACTCTGCTCATGCAGCACTTATCCGCTCACTGAAGATGTTTATGTGAAAAAGTGAAGACTTTCATTATTGTGTTTCAGGTTCTGGTGGACGGGGGAGCCCAATGATTTTAAAGAAAAGGAGGACTGTGTTATAACTGGGTTCAGAGGTGCTGGATCTGAAAGTGTATCAACCTGGGCTGATTTTCCCTGTGGTGATTCACGACGTGGAATTTGTGAGAAACGTTTTTAAGTGAATAGCAGAAACTATATTAATTTTTAAGATGAGGAAACAAAACACTAGTTTTCATTCATCAACATATATAATAATAACTTTTTCTTAGGACCTTTCTCAAGAACAAATTTAAGAAAAAACTTGGTGAATGAGCCCCCCCCCCACCCCCCCCCCCCCCAAAAAAAAAAAAAAAAGTCAAATATTTGCTTAAGGAAAATTATAACAAAGGTTTTTGTATGTAGGCTATGTAGGTTATTTGTCATGTAGACTATCAATATCATGTTACATTTTACAGGTTACCAGAATTCATGCCACATTCTTGTTAACTAGTTATTCAGTTTAATCACATCGATACCCGAGGACAGCAAAATAAGGGCAAAACAAAATCTAAGACGAGTGTGAGACTGTCAGAAAGTTAAGAAAATAATATAACTTGTAACAGAATATAGCTTGTTTTTATAATTATTCTAAAGAATTCAAATCCCGTCACAATCCAGGGAGCCGTATGTCTGGAGAATTGAAGTTTCTTTCTTGCGCACAGGTCCCAGATACCTAAAACAATGGACTGACGCAGTTTTACAGCTGGACTGATGCCAAGATTAGGCTCAGACTATGCACGACAAGTGACAGGTGTGACAGACATGACCATGTAGGGATAAACAAAAACAGGCAGAACAGAAGGTTCTAAATACAATCACAGTACCGGCACACATAATACTGCATATAATTACATATAACACAGCACTAAACTCATTACAGAGCAGTACATTCCTTCAATTATTAGGAGACACATTAAGAAGGAAATGAACAAATTCTGAAAAGTTTTTTTGGAAAATAAAAAAATAAGAAATAAGAAGATTTTCCTTCCTCAATACAGTTTTGTAAATCTGGCTCCTGGTCTCCAGTTGGGAAGGATGGCTTCTCTGTCAATCTACAGTGTTGCTGGCCAAATGTGAGCACTAAGGTGTCTCGCCACTTCCTCTTGTTGTTTTATTCCCGCAGTGTGGAAGTACAGATTCAACTGCTTCCTCCTTTCTGCTTGCACCATGCAGTTTATGTGTGTTTTTAAATGGTTAACTCCTTTTGGGTGGCTTATTATGGTTATATAGACTGATAATTCAAATATCTCACCATAGTGACACAGGTTTTCTCTGTATATCCCTAAAAAAGTGATTTGTGGGGCGCTATGTAGCAGCTTAGTTTTGTATGTCATGAACCTTTCAGAGTCCATTATACTAAAACATGCTGTTTATGATGCATTATATGCTGGTCTGATGCTGGTTTAGTGGTTACCAAGCATGTTCATGTTGATCACTGCATTTATAATACACTGAAATACTAATAGTTACAAACTACAGCTGTTCAGTTCTGCTGCTGCTATGGCTTGTTAGAGATCATTTTCTGAGTTACTTTGCGCTACAAGCTGTTATGTAACCTGCGCATACCTTTGAATGTCTGATGATTATGAAATAAAATAAACAGTTTGGATGTTTGCTGGCTTCCCAGTTAGTTAAATGTGTGCTATTTTGTCCTGCTTCAGCTCATTTTCTGGTATAAAACAATAAAAATTGCTGTCAGTAAAGCTAATTTGACATGAAACCAATTTTCCTGAGATGCTGGCACTGGACCACAAATGAACCCTGCCTGTTGCAATATCTGCTGTTATTTGTCTTACAAAATCTTTGTTTTTTCAAATTATACACATTGTGGATTGTTTAAAAGTGGACATATCTTACAAAATGTTGAAGATAAAAAATATCAGACAGTCAGTTTGTCATATAGTTTGTTGTATTGTTATATCTACGTCCACGAAACAGCAGCTTGTTGAGGGCACTCAGGTATTTCCTCTTTTTCTCCTATTCATCTACTCAGAGCCTCTGGTCTCCCTAATCTCACTCTGGTACATTTTTCACACCAAGGATTGCCGTCTCCCCCCGAGGAGGCTCTCTGACTGAGGCAAGTTTAGAGTCTCAGTCTCTCACTCTCAGTCTTTAACCAACTGAGCTGAGCTCCTGCTTGGTTCTTATGAAAATCTGCAGTCACACCAGCTCTTTATGGATAAGATTGGGCAGTTGTGCTTTAGTTATATACTTCATACAATGTATAAATGACTGAATCAATTAAAATACTATGCAGTTAAACACTACAGGCATTTCTCAGGGGGACAAGAGATATGATTTATACGTAATTTACACTTATATACTGGAGAAAAGTTTACAGAATTGGGGTAAGATAGGTAGGTGAGGTATGGAAGGGTTTAATGTTTAAAGTATAATGTATATAATGTTTACTTTCTTCTGAACATTATCTTCTGAAGGTTCCAAAATGTTTCTAGATATTAGTGTCATAAAACCGGGTTTGTACCACTATAATCAATACATTAAAGAATACAGCATATGTCTCTACCAAAGCCAAAGCATTAAATGCATAAATCAAATAAATGAACAGTAGCAGTCATGTGAAATGTGCATTTTCCAAAAACTAAAAAGATGCACCGAAACCCCTTTCTTTCAGAGGTACGTATAAAACGCCCTGCATTGATTTCATGATGAGTAAACAGTAAATGATTTAGTGAACAGCGCCCTCTCCTGATCATAATGTGTTCTTGGTTAGACCTTTAAGGAAGGGTCAAAGACATATGTCACAAACCATATCTTACATATGGAATCTGAATATGTGTGTTTTAATCTTGCTTGTGTCAATTACGTTTCACTTTTGTGTATTTTGTTCTTTGTTACAACGTATTTGTTCATCAGCCCAGAGTGCAGGAAGGCTGTTGATTTGGGGATGAATCCAGCTACTCGTATCCTCCATCTTCAGTTTCCTTGTTTCTCCTCTTACTTGCTAGTCTGCATTCGGCAGACACGTTTCCACTCATGTAATTGTATTCAGATAGTGGAAGTGCTCTCTGTTTATGCTTGTGGAAAATGTGGTCAAGATCCATCTCTGACCACCTCCAAATGCGGTTTGAGTGATCAGAGTACTTTGTTCACAATGCGTCCAGAGTCAGTATCTAATGTAAAACAGGCTATACAAAGAAAATTAAATTGAAATAAATTTAGTCTTAAACCACGCACAGGCTGTACTTGGCCCCCCTCCCCCACCCTTTAAAGTATATTGTTGGCCACCCAAGTATTTTTCATCCCTTTTAAAACAATGTCCAGTTCCGAAGAGAATTTATATATATATGCCTGGAATTTAAATATGATTGAACTTGCCTTTTGATTGGCAAGACAATAAAGATTCATGAACCCTCTTTCTTTGTTGCTGGGTCTTTATTTTCTTGGCACATGACCACAGCCAGAGCATTTTTGTTTTAATTTCATATACAAGTGGATGGTGTCAGATTTGCCGCTAATCTACAGTGAGCGCGTTTTGATGATGCTTCACTGCATCGCTCAAGCGTCAGTGTGCACCCAGCCCTGTGGTGAGCGAAGCGTAAAAGGCATATTAGCTGATCGTCCCCTGAATGTGGATGTGACACAGTCAGTTACTACGCCATACATCAACATCTTCAGCTTGTCCATAACAAGAGAGCAGAGTAAGGATATGTGCATCAGTGGTCTGATTTGTCATTTCGATGTATATATTGACATCTTTCACCTCATTATAGCTCTATGTCCCGTTCGGTTTGATGCAATTTGGCAATAATAATTTCCAATCACACCTTCCCGCATCCCTGTATACATTTATATGTTTCTAACTCTACTCTGATACTGTTTTATGCTAACATTTGCACAAATGCAGTGTCTTAAAGTAAGAACAAAGTGCACAAAGTTTCTTGCACTCCCCCATATCTTCTTTCACACCTTAACCACAACGTCACTTAAAGGAAGCATGAAGTATCTGCTAAGGCATGGTGACTTCCTGTATGGACAGCGCAGTGATGGTTAAACTGCTGTCATAGACAACACAGTAAAGAGGTGGAGAATTCTCACAGGCAGACAGAGACCAAGTGTTCACTGATTTTGTAGGACTTTGAGGTAAGTAGTACCTAGTTACACTTACTCAGTTACAGGTATATAGGCAAAGTTTTGATGGATGGATACATTTCAGTGTACTTTTGTAAAAACTCAACCGCTGTCCCATTTTAGCCATTCATACCTTCATATCTAGATCCTAAATCCACTTTGTGTTCTATTCTGTATTCTGTTCTGCTGTGGACAGCACCTGGACTGTAGAACCTAATACTGTCATAATTTGGCCACAAATGTAATACAATGTCTGAGCTGATATTGTAATAATACATTTACCAACAATGTAATACTTTATACAATATTTATTACAATTTATTACATTATGCAATTTATTACATTATGCAATGCAGAGTTTGTATGATAAGCTGCAGTTTTAGTAACAGAGCATTAATTTCAGGCACATTGTGGCTACACATTGCAGTTGCATCAAGGTGCACTGTGCCCTGATGTACAGCTGGCCTTCAGGAAAGGCTTTATTTTTTTTTATTTTTCTTTATTTTTTAGCTACTTTTAATTGAGCTTGGGTCATTACTTTATCTTGAATATGCTTTCGGCTGCTCTATTTCTGTCATGTATAAATTAGAGAGATGTCTGAGAGTGTTTATGAAGACGTGTTCAGCACTGAGGAGCTGAACAGAAGCAGTCGAGCGGAAGTGGAGGTGGCCATCTATGAGAGTGCTGACGCTGTGAGAGGCTTTGAGCCCAGCACAAAGAGGAAACTACAAACATACCACACATTAGAAAGGTACAAGATAACCAGATCTCTTTCAGAGGAAAACAGGCTCACTGCTGAGGTCTGATGAACCCCTTACAAAAAATGATCCTCTTATGGTTTCACAGGAAATTCATACACTGCCCACACAGGCTGTTTCATAGCAATTGTTGCCAGGTTAGAATCCAAGATATAAGACAGTCCTCTTGCATAAAAAGGGGAAAGAAAAAGTGAAATAACAGGAGGTTCCAAAACCAGAGGAAAATAAATAACTCCTAAAAACAAAGCAAGACCTGGAAGACCACCAAAACTCACCATGAGATAAACAGCAGTTTTCATCTTTTAGAGAGAGGAGGAAATCAAGCTCCACCCACACCTCAACACTCTGAGTCTGAAGGATGTGTAGCTGTCAAGATCCCTTACTGAGAAAAGAACATCTTTAAATC